TGGAGTTGCCAACAATGTCATTTACAGAAAGGTTACAGAAAAGAAGGTACATGGGCTGGTGAAGCTTCCTGTCAGTGAAAATGAGGAGAATGATGCCCACATTCACAATGATTATAAACAAGTAGAACAGGAGGAAACAGAGGAAGACGGGGTACAGAGCGTCCTCTGACAGGTTCAAGTCCTCCAGCTGCAGCAGGAAGCTGTTCAATGTAAAGTTTTCCATCAACCTGAAAGAAATTATAAACACTTAAGTGAAGTGAAATTTGACCAAACAAGTGTAAGCATAAACAAGTATGCATCTATGAATGCCGTCAAACATGAATGTGATCCTGACGTTAACGAATTCATACCTCACTCTTCTGTCTTTTTCTTTAGGAGTGGTATCTGAATTTGTGGTTGCTCTTTTATAGTAACATTTTTAATCTCAGCGGATACACAGATGGTGAACACTGTGACATCAATCTCATAGCAACATAGAGAAACATACCTAAAACACACAACTCTTTCTGCCCCACCTCCAACAGGTGATCTCAGATCACTGTTGAGTGTAAATCTTGGGGGTGTTCATTTCATACCACTGGACACTGCGGGGGATCCCTTTCCATCATTTTATTACAATTGTAGTGTTTCATTTATTTACTGCTTTCAATCTTTAATAATGAATTTAATTAACAATTACAGGGTTGACACCCAAGTTTTCAGTTAACCTCAGGGTCACACAGAACATTTCAAATGCACATTCTCACTCATATTTACACCTTTGGTCACTGAAGACAGAAATATGTACCTCATTAACCATATGGGCTTGATAGCGATTGTTGTCTTTGTTTCCTCCTATTGCAAGAGACAACCCTTATTGCCAATTACCTTAAATATTTATATGACTCGGTTTGTGTGGCAATGTATTCATTGTCACTTTCTGTCCATGGGGGTGGGGGGGAGGGTAATGACAGAAAATAATTGAGAACCCCTACTGTAATTAATCTTTATTAGCTACATATCATGTGTGCCCCCTGCAGGGCTGTTTGCAAGCATGTGTTTGTAAAATGCCATATTTACCAGCTGAACATTTTGTTCAATAGAACATTGTACAGTATTTGTAGCCTAAATTAATAATTATTGAAAAAAGACAGTAATTTATCGATACACAATTTTTTTTTCATGATATTAATGATGGTGATGTGATGATGTTTTGGCCAAACCTAAAGAAATATAAAGTGTTTGTGAAGTAGAGCGGTTTTAAGATGTTAGCTTACAATTGTCTATTTCTGTCCTTTGACAGGTCTTTCATACGTGCTGTAAGATGTGGATGTGTTTTACAATGACACAGACAACCTACTGTTTCAATACTGTTTGATGTGAGAAGATGTGAAGACTATGGTGAGTACATGTTTTTCCTCTTTAGTAGAGAAGCACCGATCTACTGGTCTTTTGTCAAAAAGAGCCCATTTTCAGCATGATGAACGCCGCCTGGCTGGTCATCACTTTTGGTTATCAGGGTGCTCCGAATTAGGTTGTGTTGAATACACCACATAGTCATCCTCTGTGGATCTCTTTGCTCTGGTTGGGCAAGATTAGAATTGAGCAGATCAGAGGGGCAACTAAGACGAGGCTTTATTTGTAAGAAAAATTGTGCACAGGAACCATTTTTATTTAGAACCTCCTTTCAGTCACCGAGCACTGTATTTTGAATGTTGTTGAACTGAAGTGAGTACATAATTACTTGTTATGAGACTAACGTAGTGCACTGAAGAACACTTAACCTTTTATATATGTGTAGATTGTGTTTTCTTTGCACAGTCTCATTTGTCTACAGGTTACAGGCTTTCATACAATTAGAAATGATTTATATCCTCTCTATAGTATTCTTGTCTTGTATTCAGTATCTTTTTCTACAGACAATAAAGTCAAATCTCTATTTCTCAAACTCGGGTCTAATCCAGGACACATTGGTGATATTAAACCAATACCAAAAGTGGGGAGACTGTTGTGGTCAAAAGTTTGAGGTGTGGAACCATGACTGGGGTCTGTCTGCGGTGGTATATGGAAGTGGGACAACTCAGGACCACATTGTAGGTGGATGATAGGTTATGTCTTAGACCAGTGTTTCCCATTTTTTTCTGGGAACCCATATTTTAAAAGTCACACATTATTCATAAACTCCTGGGAAACATGATGCGAGACGACCCAAAAGAACGGTCGCTTCTGAGGGTCACGATACAGTCTTTGGGAAACAATGTCTTAGACCGCCTCCTCTATTGAGTTTCTCCAGGTTGACATAGATGGCTTCCTTCACTCCATTTATGAACCATCTGGCTTCCCCCTGTTCTCCCCAACGGCCCTCGCTTTCAGGTGTTCAGCCTCTACAAGGTTAAATAGCAGAAACTTCCGAGCAGTGAAGAAACCTCTTGTATGAGCGGTGAAACGGCTTTGGAGCAACCTACTAGTCCAGTTGCCTTTGACGTAACTACTTTTGGATAAGATGACCTTGTCAACTGAGAACCTACACAGATATTTATTCCAAGTGTTACTCCTTACAACAGTGATATAATCCCATCATTGTACATGACTTCAGACGTTTCCCACTGTATGGAATATGTGTCCTACGAACATGTTTTTTATAATTTTAATTAACCTTTTAAAGAGAGCAAAACATTTTTGACAGAAACTTTCTTATTTCTTTCGACTGTACTCCATATATAACTGGGTTGAGGCTGCCGGTAATAATGTGAAACAGAATGGCCATGAGTTTTCTGTACTCTGACGTCTCAGGGAAGCGATGGAGAACAATGATAGTCAGTCCACAAATGACCAAAATCAAATACAGTACCAGGTGAGTGCTACAAGTCTGCAGGGCCTTACTGTTCAGTGACTTGTTCTTACTGGTTAGACAGACTATAGTGATTCTAGTGTAGGTAAAAACAATGCTGCCAATAGAAGCTGTGAACAGAGCCACAGTGAAGGTGAGGCCATAGACATTATTTATGACCACACTGTCACAGGAGAGTTTAAACAGTGAAGCATTGTCACAGTAGGACCCTTTGATCAAAGTCCTGCATCTGCTGAGTCTTACAGTCAAACCAAGTAAAACAGACACTAAGACTAAGGCCACCCCCCAGGCAGAGACCGTCAGCTTGATCACCATTCTGTTGGTCATTATGGAAGCATAACGCAGTGGTTGACAGATGGCCACGTATCTGTCAAATGCCATAATGATGAGAATAGTATGAGCCGTCGTCCCGTACGTGTGTGCGGTGAAAGCTTGAACCACACATTCATAATAACTGATGAGTCGTTCAGAGGAGGGTCGCAAAATGTCTAGCAGCAAACGAGGCACTAGGATAGAATTTCCCAGAATGTCATTTAGTGGTAGGTTGGAAAAAAGCAAGTACATTGGCTGGTGAAGACTTTTGTCCACAAAAATCAGAACCACAATTCCTACATTAGTAACAATTATGAAAATGTAGGAGAACAAGAAGATCAGGAACGTTGGATATGTCATTTCTTCAGAAAGAAGAAGCCCCTCCACTTGGAGTGTGAAACTGTTGTACGTGTAGTTTTCCATCATCCTAATACAAAAGCAAGTTAAAATCTCCAACCGTTTAATGTCACAAGAAAAGTCAGAACAGTCAGTGACAGAACAACTAAAGAAGTGATCACGGTATACTGTAACAGTTAGCCACTCAAAACTATCAACTGTGCATTTACACTATAATACTTCAGTATATAATTTGTTTTTAATCATTGAGCAGAAAATAAACACAAATACAAGTAATATATTCTTTCATTGCTTCTGTTGTATTCTTACGTCCTTGTTGTCTCTCCCCACTCGGCTATGACGACTGTAGTTTGAATCAACCCAGAAAATGAGTGAATCTTTTAAGGATGTTGTGACATCATCGAGGATAAGGCAGGACTCTTCACTTCAGATAAATAAAAATGGATGTGTTGTCCAAGGGGACTCATGGGGAAAAAAGCTTTTGTATTAAAATCGTTTGTCAGGGTGTGGCCAGTTGAACATTGACAAGAAACCAATTGTCTGGTTGTTATTGTGGAAACAATTCCTCAGTTCTCTATGTTTTACAAGAAACAGCTGGAAATGTTTGTCAACCTTTTTTTTCTTTGGAAATTTTCCAATCAGAATGGAGGAAGGGTTGTTTGGGTTGGTTGCTCTTTTGTTAGCACAGCAAAGGGACATACAGTATACGTTTTATTAAATACGGTACTTTTAATTTTCTTTTCCAAAGACACACTGGTCCATCAGAAGCAAAAATATATACTTAATATTACTCTACAAATCAAATTCCAAAAACAATTGTGATTTATTTAGATGGTTTGTGGAATACTTGACTAGACCTTTTTTGGTTTGGTATGTGCTCATTCAAAGTATAGGAGTGGTGGCGTAGAGGCCTCCTGATTTGTTTCATGCTCCACTGTA